CACACACACACACACACACACACACACACACACACACACCATAATCATACGCTGTTGGTTAGGGATGATTTTTTTTCTTCCAGATTTGGGTTGGTACTTGAAAACTTCTAAAGACCAGATCGAACATGTGTACAGTGAGGTCTTCTGTTACTCTTGTGGGACTTTGTACACAAAGGCCTTATTTAGTGGATTCACTTTTTGATTCATGCCTATACTATCACAGTTTGGCCTTCAGTGAGCACAGCAGTGCAGGAGATGTGTTTAGGTTGTACAGTACAGTCAGTTTCAGACATGTCTTTGTACATATAAARTAAAATAGAGTATTTTTAATTTAGGGGAAACTGCTAAGGGTTAAATCCAACACTCTGCAGAATGGGATGAGCTAAAAATGGCCTGAACTTGCTATAAATAGTTTTTCCGCTTGGCGGGTTTTACGCAAAGCGCCTGAGGCTTTACGCGCGTCACCAATGGAAGCATTGATCAAGTTGGGGTGTAAGGGGGTGGGCAAGGACTTTACAGAGCTACTCATTTGTAAAAGTCTTACGCAGGAAGTTTTTTTTTATTATTATTGCTGCAGGTGCCAAAGCCACTGGAGCCTCCACTGGAAGCATGAGGAACACTGCAATGCGCACAGATYTACCCCCAAACCGACTTGAAATAAAATGGAAATCCAGTAAAAGTTTCCATAAATTTTTAGCTTAAAAGAAAAGGGCAAAATAAAAGTTCACCAATTACAACATATCAGATTTAAAATTTACAAAGTTTACCAGCTAAAGCTTAAGGCTTTATGCTGATAATATTGAAAATAAACAAAAAGGCCAAGATGAAATAAAAGGAAATTATTTTTCATAAAAATATAACTTTTTTTTTTATCAAGAGACTTAGCAGTTGTCATGGCTGCTGGAGAATTTTTCAAACCCAAGTGCAGACAAGGCTGGAGAAAACTTAGAGGTAAAAAGCAAAATAAAAAATAAAAAACTTTATTTTTTCAAAATAAAAAGCTGACTTGGCAGCTAAAAAAAATTACTTACAAAATTTTCACAAAAGGAACTCTGAGAGCGCAACAAAAACAGGACACGGGACGACTCAGAATAGAAAAAAGAAACCTAATTATTTCAAACCACCAACACTTGTAGGTCAGACAACAGGAACAGGTGAAAGTGAGAGGGACGGGGCNGTAAATACAAAAAATAAAAATAAAAACACAGAAGAAATAAAATACAGAACAGTAGAAAAAATGAATTACATACATTATAACTTATTTAGACTTTAGCTTCTCGTATTTCTGCTYGTTCAGGTTTTTGTCTTTTCCATCGCCTTACTTTCTCCTTAGCTCCAATGTTCGTCCTGCCACTATAACCTATTTATATCCTTGTTGTACCACTGTATGGATTTCCAGTCATTTATGTAGCTTAACCCTGGCCATAACCCTTAACATAATCATTACCAGTATGTGTGTGCCTAAACCCCCTCTAAACTCAATTTACACTTTAGCCCGAAATGGCTTTGGTCAATGGGATTACCAACTCTGACATTTAGGCGATTGAAAAAAAAAAGTCCTAAGAAGGTAACCAAAACGAGGTTTCCCCACCCCAGAAACACACACATCCCAACTCGTAATCTACATCTACTCTAACTCAGTAATCTAATAAGTATCAAACTTGCCTGCCTGTGTTGCGACGACTTTTTCACTATTGGGTCCTTAAACTGAATTGAAGTTTATATGTTAAGCATTACATAAGGCCGAGTTCCCATCATTTGCCCACGTCTCTCAGGTTAATATTGACAGAGCTTGAAGGGAGAAACGGTCAAACATTATTTTAGGCCTCTTTCACCGTAGGTCCGTGGGCACGCCCCCYATTCCTTGTTTGGTATATTTACATTAGCCAATGTGGGACGTCCTGACTTAGGCCAGCTGAAGACGTCTGAGTGCGAGAACACTCACGCAGAGTCCCACGCGCATGCTGACCCAGCGGGGCTCTTCACTTATTATGCGCGCTGCGCTCCTTCCGCCTGTAAATCTCCGTCGGTTCCAGATAAGAGGCAGCAGCGGGCGGATATTAGCCGCCGCCTAGAGTTTAATTACATTGTCAACAGAGAATAATTGTAATTGATTTCTGCTGCTCTTCCAGTGATCACTGAACACACGGACTGAGACGCACCGCCGCTCCGGGCTTCTGGTTTCCATCCGCACCTCCGCAGAGGCAGAAGGTGGTCTGCAGAAAGGCTCTGCAGGGTTTTACAGCCAAGCTGCCGCAACTCAGTGCGTCTCAGCCACTTTGAAGAATTGCAGCTAAAATGTGCTGCTCTAGTCTAATCCTTGGATTACATTTAGGGTCGTGTTAGTGTGTGTGTGTGTGTGTGTGGGGGTGTGTGGGGGGGGGGGGGTGCAGCAGGGCTCTTTAATTACACAAGCTGGTGCAATTAATTGATCACTCCCACTGTCGCCTGAGTGATAAGGAGCCGCATCCATTTCACGCGCCTGGAAGGCAGTGATTCTGCGGAGGAGGTCATCCAGAGGCRCACAGCTCCATTATCATCATCATCCTCACCATCAGCCCTGACAGAACCTTCACACCTTCAGGTTTGTGAATCATTTCGCCTGCTGCACCGGAAAGAGCWCTCAAGATGTCCCAAAATTGCTTTTAAAATACCCATTTGAATTTAAAAATAAATTAGATTATATTTTTCCCGCATTTTATATAATTTAAGTGCACTCAACTACAAAATTAAAATTAAATCTTTAAATATTTGAAAAATATTTATTATTACAATGTAATTTACATAAATAGCACATGTTGGAACTACACTATTATAAAATATATTTTTCTCACTGCCTTGTGTTAAATCAGACTTGTTTCTTGCTTAAGATCAGGTATTCACAGAATTATTCATTTAATAACAGAGATACTTTCTTATGATTTGTTTCAATGTTAACATTAGTGTGTGGTTGCTTTAAGCTGAATGACTTGGGTCAAATATTTAGGATTATCTTAGCTTCCCTGAATAGTTTGCTGGAGTTTTGTCCCATTCCTCCTGACAGAACTGGTAGAACTGAGTCCGGTTTAGGTCGTCTTCTTTACTCCTATTAAGCTGTATCCAACATTATTTTTTTCTTTTATGTGATTGAGATGGGGTCATTTTGATGATCACTTTAAACAATGACTTTATTGTACTTACCGGTAAGTTAGTTTGTAACTAATTTGAGTTTGTTTATGATAAAAGTCAAAGCCAAGAAATCAGCTCTTATTGACCTAGTCCTTTGACAAAAATTGCATCATTTTGTTCTCGTAGCTTCACTCGCCCTTTGTCACAAAGGGCCTGGCCAAACCTTTTTCTCACAGGAATATGCACAAAGCTTTGTGCGATTGATCAAAAGTTTGTGGGTGTTTGTTTGCTGGATCAGCAATGTTGTCATTTTGCTTCAATTGTGCATGGAAGCAACATGAAAAGTTTTGAGGAGCATGGTTGAGGCAGTCAGATGCATAATGTACAATTCTCCAGACAAACCTATTAGATAGTCAAATGAGTAAAAACTCGTGAATAGCACTGATTCTGATCACTGAGGAGTCATGTCTGCTGAAGGGTCTCTCTCTCTCTCTCTCTGACAGATTCATGGCCAAACAGAGGATGCAGCGACAGAATCAAGACTCTGGTTAGAAGAAACCAGTGCTATGATTTGTTCAGGAGTTCTGAACTGTGTCTTGTGGATTATGTGAAGTGTGCAAACGTCTTGCAACCGCATGACTGAGAGCTGACATCTTGGCATTGGATCAAGTATAACACAACCTTTAGGGTCACTGCCCAATTGAAAGACCCATTTACACCCAAGCTTTAACTTTCTGGTTGTCTTGAGATGTTGCTTCAATATTTCCACATAACGTTCTTTCCTCATGATGCCATTTATTTTGTGAAGTGCACCAGTCATTTCTTTTGCTTGCAGAGTAATGGCTCCTTCCTTGCTGAGAGGACTTTCGACTTATTTGGATACAGGACTTGTTTTGCTGTAAACAATACCACTAGATTATCTTCAGCAGCATATTCACAAGGTCCTTGGCTTTTGATTCGGGGTTTAGACCCTAATTTCGCACCAACGGACATTCGTCCCAGGAACATGTCTCCTTCCTGAGCAGTGATGACAGGACATTCCCATAGTGTTCATGTACAGTGGTTTGCAAAAGTATTCATACCCCTTGAACTTTTCCATATTTTGTCACATTACAACCACAAACATAAATATATTTCACTGGAAKTTAATGTGAAAGACCAACACAAAGTGGTATACAATTGTGAAGTGGAAGCAAAATTTTACATGAATCAAAACATTTTTTACAAATAAAAAACTGAAAAGTGCGACGTGCAAAAGTATTCAGCCCCCTTTTCCCTGAGTGCAACCAATTGCATTCAGAAGTTGCCTGATGACTGCTAATGACTCAAAAGGGTCCACCTGTGTGTAATCTAATCTCAGTACAAATACAGCTGCTCCGTGACGGCCTCAGATGTTGGTTAAGAGAATATTGGGGAGCAAACAGCATCATGAAGTCCAAAGAACACACCAGACAGGTTAGGAATATGGTTTTGGAGAAGTTTAAAGCAGGCTTAGGTTATAAAAAGATTTCCCAAGCTTTGAACATCTCACGGAGCACTGTTCAATCCATCATCCGGAAATGGAAAGAGTATGGCACCACAGTAAACCTGCCAAGACAAGGCCGTCCACCTAAACTTACAGGCCGAACAAGGAGATCACTGATCAGAGAGGCAGCMAAGAGGCCCATGGTGACTCTGGATGAAATGCAGAGAGCCACAGCTCAGGTGGGGGAAACTGTCCACAGGACAACAATTAGTCGTGCACTACACAAATGTGGTCTTTATGGAAGAGTGGCAAGGAGAAAGCCATTGTTAAAAGAAAACCATAAGAAGTCCCGTTTGCAGTTTGCCAGAAGCCATGTTGAGGACACAGCAAACATGTGGAAGAAGGTGCTTTGGTCAGACGAGACCAAAATTGAACTTTTTGGCCACAATGCAAAACGCTATGTGTGGCGGAGAAAGAACACTGCACATCACTCTGAAAACACCATCCCCACTGTCAAATATGGTGGTGGCAGCATCATGCTCTGGGGGTGCTTCTCTTCAGCAGGGACCGGGAAGTTGGTCAAAGTTGATGGGAAGATGGATGGAGCCAAATACAGGGCAATCTTGGAAGAAAACCTGTTGGAGTCAGCAAAAGATTTGAGACTGGGGCGGAGGTTCACCTTCCAGCAGGACAACGACCCTAAACATAAAGCCAAAGCTACAATGGAGTGGTTTAAAAAAAAGAATATTCATGTGTTAGAATGGCCCAGTCAAAGTCCAGACCTAAACCCAATTGAGAATTTGTGGCAAGATCTCAAAACTGCTGTTCACAAACGCTCTCCATCCAATCTGACTGAGCTTGAGCTGTTTTGCAAGGAGGAATGGGCAAGAATTGCAGTAACTAGATGTGCAAAGCTGGTGGAGACATACCCTAAAAGACTTGCAGCTGTAATTGCAGCAAAAGGTGGCTCCACAAAGTATTGACTCAGGGGGGCTGAATAATTTTGCACATCGCACTTTTCAGTTTTTTATTTGTAAAAAATGTTTTGATTCATGTAAAATTTTGCTTCCACTTCACAATTGTATACCACTTTGTGTTGGTCTTTCACATTAAATTCCAGTGAAATATATTTATGTTTGTGGTTGTAATGTGACAAAATATGGAAAAGTTCAAGGGGTATGAATACTTTTGCAAACCACTGTATGTTTAAAGAGATGAATGTGGTACATTTCATTTTATTTAAACATCCAGAATTGGATTAAATTGGTTGAACTGGACTTCTCCAATATTCCTGTGTGTTTGAGATGTGCTTTAAAATGCATCAAAAATAATTTAAGGACAAACTGACATAAAATGGGGGAAAATAGTCTAATTTAATGTCAAATGGCTGTTTTTATTTCTAAGATAATTTGCCGTTATATATAAAAAAACACCTGCTCATGCGACTCACTGTTAGAACATATAGGATATACTGAAATACCTTGGATGATGTTCCAAAATTAGTGTTAATAATTATCAATAATAATCAATAAGACTGGTAGCCAATCCCATGGTCTGATCCTCCTCTCCAAGTTCAGGATTCATCATCACAGGAAAGCAAGCAAGAAAAAAAAAAAGAATTGTAAGCAGAGCTGCTCAATGAAGTATGTAAAGAGGCCTCGGTCAGCCTTTTTAAAGCTAAAATATCTTTTTGCATTGTCCCAGAAAACCAATGGAAGATGGATGATGCAGCTGGAGAAGTCTGATGCAGCTCGAAGTGCATGGGAGGAAAAACTTGACAAAAGCAGCAAATCTTTTTACAAGCGAAACCAGCTCCATGCTTTTTTTTTTTGTTGATTTTGATGAAACACAAAAAAATGGGAAAGAAACATGATTTGTTTTATGTGCAGCCTCATTAAAGTATTGATACATTTGGATTAAATTGATTACTGCTGTGCTTAATGTTCTTATCTCACCTGATCACATTTGTTAGAGATTGTTTTAAAAGTCTTACGGTTTGATCAGGTGTAACTGTGAACCCAACTGCCACCTTTTCTTTAAATAAAGACTTCCTTCTGTTTACCTTTTCTAATCAAGTCATCCTTGTTCTTTATTTCCAATATTTCTGTAAAGAAATTGAAAGTTTAAAATTCTAAGGTCTGCATTGAGTACTGTAGAATGTTGGAGTTCAAACTAACATCAAACTGACAAAATGTCTGCTTTTATTGGTCAATTACTCAATACATCATTAGCAGAACCTGGCTGCTACTTTTAACTCTTAATAGAAGCAACATATTTAGTTTTTACACAGCTCCAGAAACTAGAGATCACTTTTGTAATAACAAAATAACAACAGTGTTCTGTATTTTTGTTAACCTGTTCTCAAGCTATACAACAACCAAACCGTTTCCTGTGAAGATGCACAAAATTTAACTCCTTTGTGTCTTAACATTTACAATGCAACATCATACAGTATATCTTTTTTAGTTATTAGGAAGAATAGAAAACACAAAGTAATACAACTGGGATTTTTATTCCATCCTGCTTCCACAGGTTTTAGTACAGAATCAAATAAAAAAAAAAGAAGTCTGTTGCATTGTTGCACATGTCATGTCATGTCACTATTGACATTATTGCAAACTATACGTTTGTTTCCTGTCTCCAAGGTCAAGCGTGACAAACAGCGAGCGTGGATCCTTTTTGTTTTTCCGCACCGTGATCTTTCCTCGGAGCTCTTCTCCTAAAAAAAAAAAAAAAAAAACACAGAGAAAGAAATATCACCATGCTGTGTTACACTCAACATAAAGCAATCACTGCACTAGAAAGTCCTGCTCTACGTCTGAAGGTGGGCTCACTGATTCAGTGTTTCATTAGAATTCACATTCTGACACATTGTCATCCATCCTGGATGTGAAGAACAGTTTCAGTGACACACAGACAAACTTTCTTGGCAGTTAGTCTTCTTGAAACCCAGAACTAAAACGTCAAGTCTTTTGTTTGTGCCTGTCGTAACTCACCTAGTGCCCTGTTCCTTAACCCCAAACCATTCTGCATGTCATTTTGATTCAGGAAAGTGACACATGAAGAGCTAATAATGCTTAGAAATAACAAGGAAAAAGTGCATTAAGGGCTGTAGATCAACTCTGTGTACAGCTTAACTTTATCTGCTTTCAAAAACAATTTAAATGCTCTATGAGAAATAAATTAATTCAAACCAAGAGATATAAATCATGGTTGAGCTCAAATAGTCTATTAAAACTGGTTGAACTCATGGTTCTTTTTATATCTGCCTCTGAAAGGCAGGAGAATTTGTTTTGCCTGTGTGTGTGTGTGTGTGTGTGTGTGTGTGTGTG